AACGCCTAAACGCAGCGCATAATGAAAATCTAGAATCTATTCAAAATGGTTTTTCTCTTTTTGCAATTTATCGGACTATATAACATGAGACTGCAGTCTTTTTTAAACAATACTGATCGCATCAGAGCAAGAACGCCTAAACGCAGCGCATAATGAAAATCTACATTTTATTCAAAATGGTATTTCTCTTTTCGGACTATATAACATGAGATTGCACTATTTTTTTAAACAAAAATGATCGCATGGGGAGCAAGAACGCGTAAACGCAGCGCAAAAAGAAAATCTACAATAATCTGTTCGAAATGATACCTTGTTTTGCAATTTGTGTGACACTCTGATATGACAGCAGTCGTTTTGTAACAATACTGATCGCATGAGAGCAAGAAGGTCTGAACGCAGCGCATAATGAAAATCTACATTTTATTCAAAATGGTATTTCTCTTTTTGCAACTTATCGGACAATATAACTTGAGATTGCAGTTTTTTTAAAACAATACTGATCGCATCAGAGCAAGAACGCCTAAACGCAGCGCATAATGAAAATCTACATTTTATTCAAAATGGTATTTTTCTTTTCGGACTATATAACATGAGATTGCACTATTTTTTTAAACAACACTGATCGCGTGGGAACACGAACGCGTAAACGCAACGCAAAAAGAAAATCTACAATCTGTTCGAAATGATACCTCGTTTTGCAATTTGTGGGACACTCTGATATGACAGCAGTCGTTTTGTAACAATACTGATCGCATAAGAGCAAGAAGGTCTCAACGCAGCACATAATGAAAATTTAAAATCTATTCAAATGTTTCCTCGTTTTGCGATTTGTGGATTACTCTGATATGACAGCAGCTGTTTCGTAACAATACTGATCGCACGAGAGCAAGAAGGACTCATCTTTTATTTGAGGTCAATTAACAAAGCATCAAAGCATATTCTTTATTTTTTAAATTCAAATTTAGTTCAAAAAGGATTTGATGAAAAGCATTTGGATTTAACTGATTTTGATTTCAAAATTGTATCCACTTAAATTAAAGGGATTTAATAAAAGTTAACCAATATGATTTTTTCATTTTAATAATTTAATTTAAATTTGTTATAATAATTTTGTTTTTTGAAACGTTTTTCATAAAATACTTTAGTTGTCGATGATAGTTGGGAAAGTATTCAAGCTGTTGTGCGATTTGATTGTGTTAGATTTTTGCTTAACGACGATAACTCGGATGCAAATTTGTACGTAAGCGTATTCAATCATTGAGTTCTTGAGCCAATTTCGAAATTTTGAACAAACATTGCCTTTAAAGATGACAGCTCTGCCCTTTCCTTAGTTTCAAGGTGATTATTAATAGCAAAGTAAATTGCCGCAGCGTGGCCGTAAAAATCTTTTATCAAAGTTTTTTGAGTTTTTTAAACTCAAAACTGGTGCTTGATTGAGAAAAATTTTTGCACTTCCATTTTAAAATCATTTTCGAAAATCAAAACTATATATATTTTTTGAGTTTATGTAGAAATCTATCATTCAAAATCAATATTTCTTTGCGTACTATCATTTTTTGAAATCTTTTGGTGTTAGTAGCTGTGAAAATATACCAAAAACGCACCTTTTTCCAACATTCATTATTACATTCACAACCATCTCTGGGAAAAGTTATTCCAAACTGAGGAATCTTGATTGTTTGAGCGTTGATGCTGTAAACCTGATAAAGTTTGTTATCATGGTAACTTTTTATGGCAATAAAATTCTCGGTTCGATTCCAGTAAGATCAATTTTTTCAGCAAATTTTGAAAAAAGTGTCATTACGCGGCAAACAATTTTGTGTATGTCTGTACGTCCCTGGATTCCAGAGACAAGTCTTTAATCATGTTAAAATCGTTGTCGGAACGATCAAAGAAATCGAAAGAACAAAAGAAGAACAAAAAGAGCGTCTTTGTCGCAGAATCTGCTTACGTTTCCCAAAAAGCACTGTTTGGCCTCGTAATGGTAGATTTTTTGGAAAACTATTCTAGATTTTACGATCTCTGCTGAAACTACAGAATACTTCGTGTTCTACTATCAAGAAATCAAACGATTTGCTCTTTTTTAATAATTTTCTCAAATATTTCTTCAAATAATCGTGCTTTTTTTGAACCTAAAGAACATAAAAATCAATAATAAAGTGATACAATTGATTAATTTAACCTTGTTAACAATAACAAAAAATGGAAAAGCATAATGTTAAAGAAAATTGTTTTTCTATTTTAAAAAAATTCTTCAAATCTAGCTCGTTTTTTGTATTATCGTTTTTGAGACACTTCTGCTAGTCGGTACACCGCTTTTTCAATCTCACAAAAAATGGTTTCAATTGACTTGGAGCAAGCATACAAAAGCTGGTCGACGCATTTTTAATCGACAGTGAACATAAAACAAAGAAAAGAGTGTTAATCTGTCTCAAATCACTTCAAGTTATAACATTTTTTTTGGAAAAATGAAAAAATATATATAAATTTAACGTCTAATAGCGTAATAATAACCACATGGCAGGTCTCAAACCAGTTTTTAATGATTTTGAGTCGGCATAATTTGCCGCTAAGAAGCAATGCGACAAATTATTCGACCTTTTTCGACCTATGGTTTGGCCCTGTTGGACTCTATCGACTCATTATTGACTCGTGCTCGACTTATGTTTCTCGGCCGAAATCGGGTATGTTTTGACTGTACTCAAATTAAGTTTCGACTGTATTCGACCTACGTTTTGAGTTTATCGCCTGAAATCGGGTATGTTTCGGCTGTGATCGACTTAAGTTTCAAAGATGTTTGACCTAAATTTTGACTATGACTTTTTTCTTATTAGTCAAACAACATGAAAAAACTGAAAAAAGATTATCAATTGATTTTTCAATAAGATGCTTCTACTGAAAAAAAAGCAATAAGAATCAGTAACATGCGATGTTTCTTCTTCAAAATTTAATTTTACCAAACTTATTAATTTATTTTGCATTTGTTTTCTTTACAAATCTGGACGCAACCTGTTGATCTGAAAATTGAACTTCTGAAAACTTTTGGTGGAATTTTTTCCTTGCCGCAGGAACCTTTAGATCTCAAAAACAAAAATGTTACCTCTGAAAATTTGTCTTTCTTTGTAAGCATTTCATCTCAAAGAATTGTTACTAGTTGCAACTTTCGGACTAACGTTTTTTCTGAGCTGGCTCTTTTTTGTCCAGTTTCCAGTTTCAACATTATAAATTTTCCAATAAATTGAAAAAATAGTTTGTGCTTGGCCTATGTTTTGACAAATCTTGACCTCTGTGCGACTTTCTTAACCAAAATTAGGTATGTTTGGACCGTGCTCGACCTATGTTTCGACACTCTCGATCAAGGCTGGATTATTGCGAGGCCAACTTGTACATTAGATATTAAATAAACACACAATTTGGTTTCTGTAAGACAGTGAAATCCAAAGGCAATTATTCAAACATGTTTCAAATAGCAAGTGGATTCCACTTTCGAAGCTTTCGCGTTTAATTATCTAAACGACAATTTTTTGGCACAATTGTTTCTTTTTGCAGATAGCGCAATAAGTGAAGAAACTGGAATCCGCAATAATAAGTGGAGACCGCAAAAAGAAAGTGATTTCTGAAAATGTAGGTAGAACCCGCAATGAGTTTTGAACAGAGTCTGTGGATGTGAGCGGAAATATGAGCGGATTTCACAAATTGTGAGCGCATTCCAAAGTTTTGTTTATTACTCTGAACTAAACCAGTTCTTGCATAAGAACAATTAAAAACTAGAGCTTGGATTAGTATATTGCAAATCTGAAAACAGAAAGCAGCTACTTAACCATTATCGTGGTATACATCAACAAATTTTATTTCCTTGTTTATTTAAAAGTTTGATTGTAAGCTTCTTAGTGTTTAGGATAAATATCCCACTACGCTGTCTTAGTGAGAGTTTTTCGGGAAATCCATCATAATATTGTATGTGCAAATCGTTATTTGCGAATAGCGAGTTTTGTTTTGACTTGGCAGTATGTATAAGATTATAGCTCTAAAGTTTGACCTAATTATTCTGTTTTTCTCTAAAGTTCGACATAATAATGTTGCATCATTAGCATATCAAATTATCTTTCCATGTTTTTTCGAACCCAATTTTTGATCTGCTATCCACCACTTTGAATTGAGTTTTGGATTAAAGTTTGGAATAAAAAAGGAATCTTGAATAAAGTTAATTTGAAACTATTGCAATCTAGACCGAACAGAAGTGAATTTGAAATTGATTTTGCTTATTTTACTCAATTTTTTTGTTTCTGTATTTGAGGTTAGAGATTTATTTTATTTTTGGTATTCATTTTGCTGTTTTTCACTGATGACCCACAAAAAATGAAATTCAAAATGTTATATGTTTATTTTTAATATTGGAGTGTGCAAGCAAAAGGCGGAGTCCGCTTACAGTTCGCGGATTCCACTTACAGTTGCGGATTCGGCGACAGTGTATTTCTACAAACCGTTCCAAATTCTGCAACTTTGTATTGGATTTCCCAAACTCGTCTATTTTTGGAGCGATTGTTAGCAATACAGTGTTCTGACAATTTGTTCGTGGAATCCAAAATATTTTCCCTCACAAAACTGTCGCCGTAACTTCATACGCAAAACTTCAGTACCCACAGCAATCATATCAACCAAAAAAGTGCAGCATATAATTAATGGAAAAAATTGATCAAATTGCATTTCAGCAGCACATACTTTTCAATCAATTAGATTCGAGCATTATCGTTTCTGATCCGTTTAAATTTTTGCAAATTAGGCTGAAACAGTTAAAACACCCCAACGCGCCTTCAGAAGGCTGTAGTAAAACATTTACGGTCTTTTATGCTATTCTCTTTTTAAAGATAGCCTGTTTTGAATTGTCCCCCCATAAAAAAATTATTCAACGGTTAAGTATATGTGAATTTTAGAGCAAGTGATGACGAATTTTCCTCTCCGGTAAAAGGGGGAAGTTGAAGAAATCCACATTTACTCACAATGGATCATCGAACAATATCGTGCTCCAGAGTCAACACCTCTTTGTTCGGGATCATCTGGTTCCAAATACAGCATGAAACCCAGAAGTACGCCCAGAGTAAAGCAAAAGAAATGGTCGAGCAATATGGAAGATCTTGCGTACCAGATTAGATCGGGAGACTCTGAAAGTTATTTAAACAATTAAATTTCACCAAAAAAAGTAAAGAAAAAATGACATCAAATCAAAAAAAGACTTACAACAGCTACTTTTGGGGGTTCGCAAACAAGGTTAGATTTAGCAATTTCAGCTTAGAATTGTATTAGTTTCAAGTTTTTGCCAGATTATCCTTCCACTCAAGGTTTTATTTTTTGCCATTTTAGTTTTCACAACAACAAGGATCGTTTAAAAAATGTTTTTGTTTTTGCTTGTAGAAATTTGCATGGCTTAGTCGCGACTGATATGTGCGCTGAAAAAAAAACAAGTATAAAAAAATTATAAACTGGATTATCTGTTGAGCCGGTGGTTTTTTTAGAATCCAGATCGCTTGACAAATTCAATTTGTTGATTACTTGAAAACTAATAGTTTTTTATCATAAAGTTTTTAAAAAGCGAGTGAATACATTATCAATGGCATAACGCTTAACATTTTTGAGTACGGCTCAAAAAATGAGGGCAACTTGATGATTGCTTTGCAGCTCGAAAAATCAAATCTCTCCGTTTTCTATAAACAAATATCACTCAAAATTTCTCTGGAGAAGCTGAGTAGCCTAGTTTTGAAGCCTAGTTTTGAAGCCTAGCTTTTGTAGCCTAGCTTTTAAAGCCCTCTTCTTCCCTCTCCCACTCTCCCCTCCCCCCAGGGTGGTGAAAAAAGTGTTTGTGAAAAAATAAATCATTTCTTAATCTGCATTTATCCTGAATATGATATTATCTGGTTTTGTTTATCTTTTCAGATCAATTTCTGGAAGTCACACAATTGAGTTAGGACCGAAGTGGTTAACTCATAGAGTAATTTCGGATAGGGTACACCGTCTGCTCGGCACGCTATTTTATTTTCGGCCGGATAGATTCGTGCAACTTCTTAGTCTAATACCGATCCTAATCTTACTCTTATATCTACTAGTCTCAGGGTGTTTAACTAGTCTCTGCTAGGCTCAATAGATCTAGAGTATACTGGCTTATTGCAACTGCTGAAGTTTTCTTGGAGAGGCAACTAATTTCTAAGTTACATTCAAATCTCTCTGGTGCTGAAATTACAAGTAATTTCAGCACTTACAAATAAGTGGGTTGTTAGTTGGATGGATTATGATTGGTTAATATTAAATATTTTACAGTGGTAAAATATCTAATTTATCCAATAATAAAATGTAGTTTAGATTAAGTTCCACCCATCCGGGGTTTACAGAGTTTCTTAGAACTATCTTTCTTCTCTGCAATTTGAAAGATGGATGATGAACGTTGGTATTTGGCGAACATCATTTTCTTATCCGGTTCCTCTTGAAGAAGAACGTTCCAGGACGCTGGAATTAGGGACAGGAATTTGTTACTTTGTCATTCGACAACGACTGTGATCCCCAGTGAAATCAATCTGATTTCAAAATGGTTTGCTATGTCAGGTTTTTCTGTATTAGTAGCGAACTGTTTTGCGTGCAGCCTCGTCTGGGAATGGCGTGAAGATCGTGTGTGGAAGGGATGCCTTGTAACTCGGATCTGTACGTATACTTGAACATCGAGGTGGTCATTGGTCTAGTTCAATGAAGTCCTTTTCTGCGAAGTCAAGTCGTACTCTAAATCCTTTGAGTCGTGATTGTGGACGGCATGTCGGTTGTGTTTAGCCAATCTTTTGTTCGAGTGTAAAGGGATCATCTATTCTTTGGATGTTCGTCTTTGTTGTTGTGTATTATCTATATACTGCAAAGTATGATTTACATTTTATAAAATTATGTTAATTCGGTTTTTTAATCATGAATTTAGTAAGTCGTTTTCACAAAAGGTTTTGTTTTTAGTTCGGTTATTTTGAAGAGTTACTCACCCTTGAGTAACTCTTATTAAAAATAGAAGTGTGGTCACAAAGCGTGGATGTAGCACGGTGGGTTAGGCCGGCTATAGAGCATGCTCAGGACGTCCTCTCTGGTGGGTTAGGCCAGGAGTGGGAGTATGATTTCATGCTGTTTTTTGAGAGGTCCTGTTATGTGATAACGTTTTATGTTGGGTTTATGTTGGCCTTTCTTGTGTTACTTTGTTTGTGTCCTTTTTTCAAAAATCAAATTGTTTTTGGTATGGGTTTGTCTTGCGACTTTTTCGTGTTTTATTATTTCTTTCTTAGACTTTATAATAGTCTTCAAAAGAATAAATTATCCAGTTTTAAACTGGGTTAATTCGGTTTGGGTACCGTTGGTTTTCTTTTCTTAGTCATGCTGTTATTTTATGATTTGTGGTGTTTAGTAAGCTGCGTTGGTTAGTTTGGTTTAATGTATAATTCCTTTCCAACCGGGTTAAAGGAAAGTTTGAAACTTGTTATCGTGTGTTAGAGTTGTTGATAGTGAAAGCTTGAAACTTAAAATCATTATTTAAACAATTCTTTGTGGGCGAGCTATGCGAGTTTGGGTAGAATTCTTGTGCGAATGAATGAAAATATTGAAAAGGTTAGTACTGCTTTCTCATTTTATCAATTTATTGCATAGAATTTGAATTTTACTGCGTTTTTTGGGGAAACTTTTTAAATTTTAAATTTTCATCGTAACTAAGTTTACTGCTTCATGGGGAAATAATTTATAAAAAAAATTGTTACATTCGGTAGGAATTTTACTACATTATTTAGTGCAAGAAATTAATGAGTTTTAAGATAATTTAACAAGTTTGTATTTTTATTTTTATTTTCTGTTTTATAGATGATCGTGGTGTGAAGACTAAAAGTATAAATCAAACATTGATAGACAATGGTTAGTACTAATTTAAATTTATTAGTTAAAAGTATTTCAAATTATACTTACCTTAATCTTCTGGGAAAAAGCCGTGGGGGAAGATGTCGTGAATCATATCTGATGTTGTTAGTAATTTGGCTAGTATGCGTATGATGTTTTTAGTTTGTAGCAGTGGCCAAAGCAATTGAAGTGCTTTAATGGTGTTTAGTTCTTCGGTGCCTACTGCAAACTCGTAAGGTGTGTTTTGAATGAGGTTATATATTTTATGATTATATTTAGTATTGTGAATGAACTGTAATATCGTTATTTCAGTAGGCTGGATAAATTCATGCAGGATAAGGAAGGGTCTGGATTTTTCGGCATTGAAGGTCTTTGTGATGGGACAGAATATATACATTTGAGTAACTGGGTCATGGTTGCGGAGGATGCCGTGGAGGTTAGTATCTTAAATGCAATATCTAAAATTAAGAAAGAATGGTGACATGTATTTTGAGTTAAGAAACTGAAAACGATGGTGAGGTTGTCTTGATGGGGTGTGTAAATCAAAGTGATTTTGTATAAAACGATAGTTTGTATATGTGTGCGTTTGTTTAGTGCGTAACATTTTATTGTGGGAGCAGTGCAAATCGCGTTCCTGTGGTGAAAGAAAGTGAAAGGTTATTGAAAATAACTGAAATTGATTTTAGAAGCTCTCGTATGCTTGAATATCAGCTAGTGATTCTGAAAAAATATGGTCATGCTTTCTATTAAAAATATTAAGTGTGAATACGTATGATATTTTGATGAAAAATTTTTGTGCTAGTTGCGGGTTTGCGAAGCGGTCTTCATCTAAAAATTGATCTTGATTAGGGCGGATGATATTATGATCGTAGTATTCTATTGCAAATTCGTTAGCTCGTGGTGCAGTGAATGTTTTTAGTAATTTTTTATATCCAAATCCAAAGTAAGTAAATTGTCGAGGTGTTAGTGTTGTGGTGAGTCTATATAACATGTTTTTGTTCTTTTCGATGCTGTCATGAGTATTAGCTAATGGTAGGCAAAGGGGTTAGTAAAAGTATAATAAGCTGTCCAAAGAAGTTTTGGCATTAAAACGTGTTCATCTACAAAATTGCGTGTGTCGTTAGTATTATTAGGTGTATTTAATGTATATTGCGGAAATGAGGCTAAGGTGATTTCAAGAAAATTTTTCGTGTTGGTGTGTTGCGGGTGATTAATATATTTGCGGGCTGTTCCGGGTTTGGTTGGGAATGGGTGATTTGGAAATTTTTGTTTAAAAGTGCGATAAGCTCGGTGAGTGCTGGTAGATGTTTCGGTGAATGTGGATGATTGTGCTAATGATGGAGTGTAAGCTGAGGAGGGTGTGGGGGTAGGTGGGTTTGAGGATGTTATTGTGGATGATAGTTGATGTATTGTGAGGGTGTTGGGGTGTATTAATTGTTGTTGTAAAGTAATAAAATTATCGAGCTCCTGGGAAATTTGGGGGGTACCTGGGGAATTATTATATGATCTGTCGGAATGAAGTGGAGAATAGGTTGGGGTCACTTGGGAAGCATAAGAAGGAGTGGAAACGGATGGGAGTGGATGATTTGATGGGATTGGTTGAAAAGGGGGTTTTGAAAAAACTGAGGAGTTGGTCTGGGTATAGGTAGAGGGAGATGGTTCGGAGTCTGCAAATTCGTCGGGGATTTCTACATTAGAGTTATTAAATTGTGAGATAGAATGTAAAACTGAAATATCTGAGTTAGTATCAGAATTCGTGCTGGATGATATATTAATAATCGGAAAAACGGGTGGTGGGAAAGCAAAAAGTGGGATTATTGGGATTTGAGTTTGGAGGTTCGCTGGATCGGAATTTGAGCGATGGAGGGACTAAGTTGTCGGCTCATCGTGGGCTAAAAAAATTATTATGTTGAGACTGAAAAGTGGCGGTGTGGGGTTGTTCTATAATTTGTTCGTATGTATTATCATTTTGTGAATGATGTGTCATTATATGTTGGATGGGACTTTGTGTTGTATTTGGTCTAGAATTTGGATTATTTGTGATTGCTGGTTTCGGAAATTACGGGGAACTAATGATGGATGATTTTGTGGTAGGGGTGGCAAATGTGGTGCGGTAGGTGTTATTTCTATATTATTGTGTTCTTCGTCGTCTGTGTTTTGTCTTGTGGATATTTTTGTGTTATATTCTTTTATTTGTGCATCTAAAAGTATTTTGTTTATTGATGATGAAAAAATACCAAAAAATCCTGCAAATAGAATACGTGCTACACTTGCTTGTCTGTTTATTTGTGTGTGTATAGCGTATGTTTTATAGATTCCTTTTAAGAGTGAGAAAAGAAATCGTATAAAATAAAACATGGCGTATAAGATAATTAATTTTTCTAAGATGTAATAGGGCCATCCTAAAAAAGCTAGAATTTCGTTCTTTAAGGTGACAAACTGAAACTAGTTATAGGTGAAATATCTTGTGGTCTGTATTTTTCACCGTTTAAATATATGTAGTCTTTAATATCTTTAAAATATCCGCTATAATCTTGTGTATAAATGTCTGCGAATCCTGCGGTTTCGGCAAGTTTTCTTAAATTCTGGTCAATTGATTGTCTTTGTTTTGTGTCCATTTCGGTTAATAATTCTTGAAATTGTTGTGTTCTAATGTAATGCTGGATGTCTGATTTAGAATATATTCCAATTGATTGTAAATCAATATTTGGGTTACGAGCAATGGCTCTGATGCTTTCGGGTGAAAACTTTTTGAGTGATTGCATTAATGTAGGGTATGGTGTAAGGAGGTAGTATTTATCTTCATCGGGATTTAATTGTACTACATTGTGGCTATTTTCTGATCCACATGGGACTGCGGTATCCCAAAAATATATTGAAAAACCTATAAACAAAACTTTTAGATCTTTCGAAAGAACCTTTCACGGTTCTTAAAATATCTTGCAAAGCCTTGCAAAGCATTCTCCTTGAACGACAAAAGACCTAGTGGAATATCATCTTAATTGAAAGGTAGCACTCTTTGGGGTCCTTTTTTCTTGCTCGACTCATGATGTCAATGGTGATAATTAGTATGTACAAAATCAGCTTAAGAACGAACCAGCTATCATATACATTTATGGCAGCCGGAAAAGTGAACAATCACATAGTGATTATCGATCGAACTATTAGGCAAGAGTTGAAATCGAAATTCTTGAAACGAACAAAATTCGTGTTGCTGGCTTAGATACTTTGATCACTTTCAAAATAGTTATTGGTTTCTAATTTGACTATTTTAAACACAATTAAATTTTGGCAAACGATATTCCTCTGGCGTAAAAAAACTAAGAAAACTCAATTGAGTTAAGTTGTGGGGTTGGTAACTCATAGAGTAAGTTCGGATAGGTTACACCGTCTGCTCGTCACGCTATCTTATTTTCGGCCGGATAGATTCGTGCAACTTCTTAGTCTAATACCGATCCTAATCTTACTCTTATATCTACTAGTCTTAGGGTGTTTAACTAGTCTCTGCTAGGCTCGATAGATCTAGAGTATACTGGCTTATTGCAACTGCTGAAGTTCTCTTGAAGAGGCAACTAATTTCTAAGTTAAATTCAAATCTCTCTGGTGCTGAAATTACAAGTAATTTCAGCAATTACAAATAAGTGGGTTGTTAGCTGGATGGATTATGACTGGTTAATATTAAATATTTTACAGTGGTAAAATATCTAATTTATCCAATAATAAAATGTAGTTTAGATCAGGTTCCACAATGAAAGCCATTACAATTCAGCTGATTAACCGCACAAAAATAGCCTACGAATTGTTTTTAACCTACCTGTTTGAGAAGAAGATTCTACACCATCCTCGCAATCACCGTAGCAGTCTTCCCAAACCTTCAAATGGGCCGAAATTGATAAAGCAAAGCTGCCAGCAAGAAACGCGAGGCCAATTATTGCCACAAGTTTTCTGGTCAGCAGCATTTTAGTTTGCTTGGACCATTTTTTTGGTTTGAAAAAAAGCGTCTTCTTGTGTATTTACTGTAAGCAAAAATTGTATTTACTGTATTTACTGTTTGTGTATAAAAACTATAAGCAAAATTCTGCTGTAACAAATAAATGAGTAGATGGTCGTCTATCTTTTTTTTCCAACCACGTGTGTTGTTGAATAAATACCATTCAATAAAAGAAAACCATTATAAAACCAATATCAATAAAGAAAATTGTTACGTTGAATAAATACCATTCAATTAACGAAAACCATTATAAAGAAAACCATTCAATCGTAGTTTAAACCAATATACCAAAGACTTGATTCTTCTCTTATGAGTTTTCATGATGTAACTGTTTAAAGATTTATTTTAATTCATTAGTTTACGTACTAAAAAGTCAGTAATCGCGGTAACTATGAGTTTTCTCTGTAAGAACTGTATCGGATCTGCATTTTGTTATCTCCCTTTTTTGCAAAAAGGCTGAAATTTGTTACAAGACAAATTCGTATATGCTCAAGAGTTCAACTCTTTCTTAATAGGGTGGGGGGGGGGGGGGTTGATTTGACAAGGTACTATAGGGGAGCGCGGTTTGTTAAAGATCCACTATCTCTAATTTACGTGCTTGAACTCACATGATCATCTATGGCTTTTTGTTTTCCATACCAGTTGAGAAGAAGCCAAAATGCAAAATGAATGAAAACTGACTCGTCTACAATTTTTTGATAATCATATTGAAAAAGCTTAAAACAATTTAACCACCGTTTATTTATTTGGACTATTTATTTAATCCAGTATGGTCTAAATTAGGATGCGAACTAGAATTTAACCTATGGAAGCCAGAATTACCTATTTTAATACCAACTTTTTTTTACACTCCGCGTCATAATTTTTCGTATCATCTTAATACGTGGTAAACAATTGTTGAAAGACAAAAGTTGGCCAATTTTTTTTGTAACCCTTAGTTTTTGTTGAAAAATGTCACGAACTGCGCTCAAATGATTCTGCTTACGATTGATATAGCAGGTACCTGTCCTAACTTGATTGACAGTCAGTGTTTGACATGCAATCACGCGAGAATATCGAGTTAGCGAAAGAATCAGCCAAGAACTGAAGTTACCAAGATCAACACTGCAGTGTATGGTCAAGAATGACTATTCAAGAGTAAAAGCAAAGATGGGACCTAAGCATGTGGCCGTTGGCTTCAAAAGTTGTGTATAAAACGATACATTGCTCTACTGAAAAAACGCAAAGAAAGGGTGACAGCCTCAAAAAACCTGAGGGAGATAGCCCTCAAAATCAGCAGAAGAACTGTTCGTCGGGATTTATCAAGAATGAGGTAAAGGTATAAAAATGCAAAATTCACAATAATTTTGACCAAAAAACAGGAAAAAAAACGGAGTACGCCCCTGCACTGAAAGGTTGACTAAACCAAAAAAACTGGAATGAAGTCGTCTTTACGGATGAAAAATAAATTAACCAAGACGAACCCGATAACTGTTGTTCCTGGATGGAGGAAAATTGTCAAGTTTACCTCAATAAATGTCAATGTTGGGTTGATTCCTTAATGGTATGTGTTATGATTTTTTCGACCGGTCTCATTTTTGTCAAAACGGTATCTAGTCGAGTAAATTCAGACACTTATATCAAGCTTATGAAAGACACTGCCATCGCTTTAATGAGAGACATTCTCCCCGATGGTTTCGATCTGCAACGAGACAATGGCAAAACTCAAGTTTCAAAAGAAATGTTTGGACTTTTTTGAGGAGACAGGAATTGAGCTTCTACCTTGGCCCAGCAGAAGCCCGGACCACAGCATTTTAGAAAACGTTTAGAGCATGCTGAGTTCAAGGGTTTATGATGGCCCGCAACCAAAAAACAAACAAGAACTGGAAGAAAGAGTTTTTCAAGCCGTAGACCACATGAACTCACATCTTTCTGAATATTTCTAAAAGTCTACTCTCATCGTTGCATAGTCGTTTCTTATCATGTGTTGAGAAAAATGGAAATAGGGTTTCTTACTGATTTTTTAAAAATATTTCTGATAGGGTACGAAAAAATTTGGCACACTTTTGCGTTCAATTGATGAAATTACATGTATTAAGATGGTATGAAAAAATGTGACGCACAGCGTACATACAGTGTGTTTTATACAAAAGGTTTTGGTATTTTTCAACCCTTTTGACTTCATCAGAAATATCACTATATATCACTCAGTACCGTATTTTTTAGAATTGTTTCTGCCTCTTTCTGGACGCGCCTTGTCAACACCTGATCGGCTAACAGATTCCAGTCTTCCGTAACTAAGTCACGACTTTGAAACGTCTCCAATATTTTCTCTGCTGAACTATTGCGAGTGATTTCCTTACTCTTATCCTTCAATTCCTTTTTTGGAGTGGATGTGTTTGCAATGCCGGCCTTTGCTGGAGATGACAATTTATTCATCTCTCCCTCATCCGTCTGGGTTTTTTGTCGTGCTGTTACTGCAGCTTTTTGTTTTCTAGCCTCTTGACATGTTGGCTTTTTCTCCTTCTTCCCAGCACCTTGGGATTCAGAACCCCCTGCATTCCCCAGTATTGGACCAGCATTACTGGGCTTAGCTCTTTTTACGGCCAAATTCAGATCTCCGTTCACTTCTAAAACTTTCGATGATGTTACATTTTCTTGTTTGTCTTGGCAAAGTTTTACGAAAGTCTGTTCAAAATGGCTTTTTGATTTTCTAAGCGGCTTCATGAAATTCGTTTGAAGGCATGTGTGAACATGTCAACAGGTTTTTACCTAATTTGTTGCTGTTAATAAGTTGAGATGTCTTTACCAGGCAACTTATAGTGTTATTTTTTTCATTGGGTCGAACTGTTAAGTTTTACCTAAAATGGGGAAAAACTGGTGTAAACATATATGAAATGGCCCTGTATTTTCTGCTCATCAATAAAAAAACCAATAGAATGAACAGTTTTGCGACTGTAAATTTTTTAATCACAGAATTTTCGTAACGCCACGAAAATTTTTGAGTCTGGTAAAACCTGAAAAAGCTAATTTTGGTTTTTTCTATACATTTACTTTAATTCAGTACTGTATGATATTGTTCAATACAAACAGCTAGGAAAACTCTGTGAACTGCGAAATCTTGTAAATCAGGGCGAAGCTTCTGAATGTTCCGGCTGTCCGGTCTCGAATAGTTGTTGCTAAATATAATTTTGATAAGGTACGAATTTTCAGCTGGATTTTAAGAATCGTGTTTGAAATTAAAAGAACAATTCGCATGTCACAATTGAATTTTGAACGATTTTGAGGATAATCCGCCACACGTAAAAATTTTGCGCGATAAAATTTTTGCATCAAATTATCACAGCGCGCAGAAAAGTCTGAGGAAAGTCAAGTTGTGAGCGCGCCCTTTCCGGGAGCAAGCAAAACCATTTGATTAATCACCAAGTTTCGAAGCCCCATTTGACATTGAATATTTCAAAAAGTACATTTTTACAGAAATTTGATATCTGAGATTCTTTTAAATTCGAATACATGCTCAGCTTTTTCAGTTGTTGATTTTTTTTACAGGTATCAAAATTTTGACTTCTGAAAAAAAAATTGGTTATTTTTGCATAATTTAGTTTTCTCTCCAAAGAGAAAATGTTTCTTCAATTAGCAAGAAAACGGAAAATGCACAGCTTTTAGAAAATACAGCAAAACAAAATCATTTTAAAAAAACAAGGAAAAGTTAAAATATTTAAAAAAACCGTTGTCACTAAAACTTTGATTACATGAAAAAATATTTTTTGGTTATTTATGATCTTTGTGATAATTTTTGATGTTTTTGCTGAACTTAGATGCTAAGTCTTTAAATGCTGAGACCCAAAAAACCAATCATGAAGCTAATTTTTTAGGAACTGCTTTTGTTGAACTTCATTTTTTTTGCTTGGACAAATATCGGCTTTTGTCACATTCTTTGTACTGTTTTTCTACAGCAACTCTCCTAGTTAGCAAAAAAAAATATTCGAAATTTTTGCTTTATAACTTTGCCGTAGAATTTGTTTTTACCATTCACATAATGTCCAATTTTCATTTGTTTAAATATCCGGGTTGACAAAAAATGCTTATCATATAACTTCCGTAAACTAAAAAAAAGCTTATCATACTCTTTTGTACAATTTCATAGAGCAAAAGTAAGTGTATGAAAATAACAAAAAAAAACATATTTCCGTATTATGAAATTTTATAACAAGCATTTTTTCCATAAACTGGAATTAAAATTTGAGCTTTTTCAGCAGTCTTTTTATCCCCAAAATTGTATGAAAATAGAATGATTAGCATTTTTTCCATTTAATGAAATTGTATGACAAGCAATTTTTCCATTCTATGAAATTGCATGACACGAAATTGCATAAATGGAAAGAAAAAAAAACACTAACCAGGGATTTTTTGTCATAAGAAAACTCTGAGTGTAACTGGCATTTACCACGCAGATAAACTGAATATGGTGATTTTAGCCATGCAAGTTATCTTTAACATTTTCACATGGAATTATATACCAAAAATGTAACATTTTGTAAATGGCTAGATAATTTTTAGTTAAATTTATCCTAGCAAATGAAACAAAAAAATAATAATCGTGTTTTCAAAAAAAACATTTTTTGTAATTTTTAGATTTTTGGGTGAAAAACTCATCCTAGACTACGTTATAAACACAAAAAGCCAAATTTTGCATGCCCAATTTTTTTCGTAAAATTTATTATTTGAGCACAAAGGCCAGTTTCCAACCAAAAAAGGGATTTTTACATCAAACTTGTGTTTTTGTTAATGAAAAAATGCATATCATACAATTTTCATACATGAAAACTATATGACAAGCATTTTTTGACCGAAATTAAAATTATGTTTTTGATTGTTAAAATGCCCAATATCTTAGATAAAACAATTTTAAACTATTTAAAATTACCCAGCTACATTCTTTGGTGATTTATAAAAATTTTACTATTTTTATGACAAAATGATTATCTTGAAAATTGCATGATAAGCTTTTTTAATCCAAAATTTGAATCATTTTCTTCGTGACCAAAAAGCTTCAAAGAAGGCAAATATACGAAAAATGTTCATTAGAAATTCTTAAATTTTTTTAATAGGTTTTGTATGAACTTTGTATGACCAGCATTTTTCCATAGACTTCTTATGTATGACATGAAACTGTATGACA